ATGCCTTGTAGTTAAATCTCTTTGTAAGAGACATTAAAATATACACTTAACAAGGTAGCTTATTATTCCTTGCAACTTCAAATGACCCAAGTCTCATATTTATTTTGTTCGGTTATTTGCACCACATACGTAATTACTTCACTATCCCTTTTCCCACATTCAGAAGCTAGATAAGTTCCATATTGGTAACTTATTAAAGTAACATCTGGAGACTTTTGCCTCTTATCACAAGAAACTATATTTCATACTCTTGCTGCACCTCCAAGTTGCATTTCTTAAATATTAAGAGGAGAAAAAAACGGGCAAGCAAGATATTTAGGTATTGGATATTTCTAAAGAATCACCACCTATGGTGTAATGTATTTTTACTATTCCTCCTACAGAGAAAAGGGAAATTATCTTCATGAGATTTTTGTAAAATAGCTGCAAGGGTAGTGTTTGAGGATTAAAAATCTCCAACTATGTACTGTAATTCATAGCTGTTTGAACTTTACCAACACAGAAACATTATTGTGAATGGGGAAATAAGCTCAATAAACAGTGGCCAAGTGCAACATTTTTGCCCTAAACATAAAGCACTCGTTCTGAACCGTGACATTCCAATGAAAGGAGTGATTTAGAGTTTAAGTCCAATCATATTAGATCTAATATTTCAATATACTAAGTCTATGTAATTTGAAGTGCACTATACTTAGTTCAATCTAATACAGATCTATGTGTTGTGAAAAGTCTAGCAGCTCTATTTTAAAATATATCATTCTTTAATCTTCTTGCCATACACTACAAAAGCCTCTTCAGAATTGTAGTGTATGGTTATACTGTAGAAAAGGGAAAAAAAGTGACCGTGGCAAAGTTTACTGTACCTCATTTATTCCATTGCTATTTTTCCCCATTTTACCAAAAAAAAATTAAACCACCAAACTTGTAAATTTAACCCAGGCTTTGAGAGTTAAACTGGGTTCTTTTCTTTCTCCACATCACAACCAATTACAAAAATATGCAAGATGGATTATTCCTAATTTCAAAACTTCAGCAGAAATATAGAAAGTACTGAGGGTATGATTTTGCTTGTAGTTATCTTTTTTAGTTATGATGGTGCATAAGTAATAAAATAGTCCAGCTAGAGTATATAATGATTGTGCTAATTACATCAATGTACAAAGGTTAATAATGCCTGTCACATGCCTGCCAAACATGAACTGGGTATAACAATTTTAAGGAGGTGAACAAGGGCCAAATGTCCACTTGACATGCTGTAGATAGATATGGCATTCAATTTAGCAAGTCTAGTTAAGACTTGCTAAATCAAACGCTGAAGTTAGCTCTAGTCAGCGCCAGTACTCCTCACAGTCGCAAGAAATCAGGGACGCTGATGGGAGCGTTTGCTCCTCTGGGCCTCCTTCTGAAGATGATGCCAAGCTCAGCTTAAAGTAAGCCTACTCCAGCTACATATTTTACTTTGCTGGAGTTGTGTACCTCAACCCGACCTTCCCAATCTAGTGTAAACCTGGCCTAAAACAAGTTGCCCAGAAAATTAATCTCTGCTCCTGAAAACAGATATTTTTACGGGCTAATGAGCATAAAACAGTGATCAAAGCCTTTTGAAGTGGTGAAGTTCTAGCTGACTTGTACTTTTTAAAAAGTACAAGGAGTCTCACACAGGAGCCTACATTATGTCCATCAGATTAGCAGACATCCTTCTAATCTATCATATGCTAGAAATCCTATTTGTAACACCAAAGGTAGCTTTTCATAATGGTAGAGCCTACATGCTATGAAGCCACATAAGTGCCACTGTTTAAACAGAATTCAGAGTTTTCCTTGGAAGGTGCCTCAACATTTTCTGTATCTTGTAACAGTCTCAAGACATCACAAATTTACCCTGTTCTTAAAGGGACACCAACATTCTAGGTCTCATCTCCATCTGAAATTTGTGCCTCTACTGTTCAAAGTTACCCTTACAATTACTATCAAAATAAGGAAAAATATTTTTCCATTTCATTTTGTGCATGCGAAAGCACTTTTGGATGATCAGTTGAGCTTCACTTTTGTTAACTGCTCATGCCTCTCTTCTCACTTCCTGCAAGAGGTCATTTACCAGTTGTGACGGGTTCGATCACAGAGATCCCCTTGAGACTGTCACCTGATGTGCAGATCATACCACTGACCCTGCCTACCTGTGCTGCTGAGCCAGAACCTCTGGTCTCACCAAGTGATGGCAAAGAGTTGGGGTCACAGCCCACCAGCAGAGCAACACAGACACTGAGATTAACTGGGAAGGTTCAGTGAAAGGGACTTGACACAGTACCCAGGTCACAGCCCCAATGGGACCAAAATCCTAGATAAATCCATCTCACTATGCATAAAGTTTACACAGAGGGAACCCATAAGATTTTTGTCCCCTTTAACAAAGAAAAAATATGCACAGCTGTTGTCCACCCCAATTCTATTAGCCAAGACTGGCAGGAATGGTGCTTCTGATTGTCAGAAGCTGAGAATGGGCGACAAGGGATGGATCACTTCTTCTGTTCATTGGTCACTGTCAGAAGACAGGGTACTGACACTGGCCACAACCAGAAGACTGGATACTGGACTATGTAGACCTTCGGTCTGATCCAGTATGACCAATTCTTAAGTTCTTCATTACGAGTATATGTACGAGCAACATGCTTGATTGCAACCCTCTATCTCCACCTTTCCGATATCACTTGCTCTTGATTGGGTGCTTCTATTTTATTAGCTGAATAAATGAAAAAGCAGTTTCTCATGTTAAATAGAAGCCATTACAAGAATTAGGCACTACTTATAAAAGGATAGTGAACATTCATTACATCTTCAAGACTCTGCATAAAATACTCAACTCCCTGTGGAAATATGTAGTAGTTATTCCTAGATAAAATAGCTGGAGCAAAGAGTTAAGCGACTTGCTCAGAACACAAGACAACATTGTCGGAGGGAGGTTAATAAAGCAGGAGGGGATTCCCAAACCATACTGCATTGCCTCAAGTTATTTGAAAGGCAAAAGAAAAAACCATTACTTGATTTTCGAAGGTGCTGATTCCTTCACAACTACCAATGAAGTCTAAAAATCAGGCCCTTAATTTTTAAAATCCTGACCTAATAAACTTAAACTTGCTTTTTTCTCTTAGTGCAATACAAAGTACAGTACACATTGATTAAACAAAAACAACTAAAATTATTAGTCTACGATTTTAAAATCAAGGCCACAAGTCGGAAACTAAGAACTGCATGACTGATGATGTTTAGCATGACCGTAATTGTTCCACACCAGTAGCGAATTGTGAAAGTGTTTAACTTCAAGTGTGTCAAGTCAATATTGGCAAGCAGAAGCTATAATTTATAAAATTTATGGTAGGGCCATATTAGTGAAATTATCACAGGCCCACCAAAATATGATATTTTACAATTTCTTTTGGTTAAACTGATAAATCCAAAGCAATATACTGTGTCATGTATTTGAACATCCAAAATAATTTTGACAAAATCTCTGGTAGGAAGCTATTAAGGAAACAAAGTAGTTATGGGTGATTACAGTTATTTCATGGATTAGAAACTTGCTAAAAGAACAAAAGACAGTAGGAACAGGTAATCAATTCGACAGGGCAAGCATTATTACTTGTGTCCACAGGATCTGCACTAAGATCAAGGATCTGGAAAGAAGGGATGAACAATGACAAGGCCAATAACAAGGCCAAATTTTCAGATAATTTGGAGGCCATTCCAAGAATTTGGAAAGTGGTCAAGGGCCACACTTTTCATGTTAACGAAGGTGATACAGGGTCTGGGATGGAGGTTGGGTGAAGGAGGCATTTGTGACCTGGGTTAGGAGACTAGGGTGCAGGGGGGTTTGTTGGTGCAGGCTTTGGGAGGGGTAATGGGGGCAGGAGGAGGGGGGCAGAGGGTTTGGGTTATGTGGAGTTGGGAGGCAAAGGGTTGGGGTGCCAGAGGCAGGCTCTGGCTGGGAGACTTCCCTGCTTGACTCCCGGCCAGCAGCCTTCTCAAGCAGACTCCCTGCCTGCCCCGCCCCTGTACTGGCTGCAGGGGTCGTGTGATTTTTTTTTTTAAACAGCTACAGGTGCTATGGGGAAGGTGCTCCCATTGGTTGGAAATCAGCCAGTGGGCTTGTGCTGGGGGTGAGAGGTGTCAAGGCTCATCGCTTTTCAAAAAAAGCCCTGCAGCAGTCTCTGTCAGTGGGGGGTAGGGGGCAGAAGCTGGCAGGGCAGGGCTTCTCCCTGAGGCTCCCTGCTGCATCTGTGGGCCGGATCCAGCCTCTGGAAGGTAGTTTGCCCAGGCCTGTTCTAGATTGTCAGGTCTTGGAGGCAGGATCTATCACTATCTGTGCCTGTATTGAACTCAAGACAATGTGGTCTCAATCCTCAGTGAGCCCTGTGGCCACTACCATAACCTAAGTGTTCAGTGATGAGGCTTGAGGGTTTGTGCTAGTGTGCATTTATTTAGGGAACATGATGTTAGATTTAAAAAAAAAAAAAAAAAAAAAACCTGCCTAGAATGAAGCAGTATTACCTAAAACCTTTTGGGATACACTCCTGATAAAATAATTCCTTATTTATGAGAGAATAGTCTCATTTAAATATATATTACAGTTTCCTCCTCCCACTGAGATGAAAACCAGTTGCATTTATGCTTTTCTTCTTTGCCTACATATTCTTGAAAGCAGGCACACATTATATTTATTACTGAGTAGGATTCCTGTCCATTTAAAAATCCCTCCTGTTAAAAAAAAAAAAAAAAAAAAAACACCACACCAGACATGATTCTGGGATGCATTAACAGGAGTGTGATGAGCAAGACACAAGAAATCATTCTACTATAGCTGGATGATGACATAAAATGAGATGCTGAAATTTTAAATCTACCAACTTCAGTGTGTCCTTCTACATACAACGAGATCTATTTTAATAGCTTGAGATTCCTCCTAAGTGCCATGCAATAAAAAGCAACTAAAATTTTCAACTTACATTTTTTCTCACTACAGTGGAAAGCCGATACCTACTGTCAAACATGTAAATTCTGTAAAGAAAAGAAATCAAAATGAATAATCATCAAGGCTACCAAAAATAGTAACTTCAGTTTCCCAAAGAATGTAACAGACATTCTAAGTACTGATGTCAAAAAGCCCACATCAGTTTTTGTATGTCTTTCTTTATAAGAATTGTGATTTAGAATAGGACTAACACAACAGGTCAAAGAAAGAATTGGAGAGAAATTAATAAGAACCAACTTCAAGCGACTTTGACCATATGAACTTTTCCATTGGCAGAGAATAGCCAATTCTAATTATGAAAAAAGCTTGTTTCATTTAAAAATAAAAATGATTTTCACAAATACATAGGCACCTACTAAAAACTGAAATGTGAAAAATTTAAATATTTGGTTTTCAACATTAGGCATTGTGTGCCATCATCCCTTCAGCTCCCAATCACTGCTAATAGTAGCAATTAAAAGTATTAAGAAAAGCTTGTTATCCATACTTAAATAAGGTTGTTACTAGGACCTCTCTAGTCTGGCACCCCCAGGACTTGACTGGTCCGAATGAGGGGATTTGCTGCACCAGGAGAGGTCCCTTCCCTAATGGCCCATGCTGCTCCACCGTCTCCAGCTGGCTCTGCTACTGCTGATTCAGCTGCTGTCGGGGCTGGGCCCCGGGGCTGGAGTCATTGCTCCCTGTCTGCAACTAGAACTGGAGTTCCCTGGCCACAGAGCTCTGGGCCCAGCGGCTGGAGAGCTCCAACCCCAATGGCAACCAGGAAGCTCTGGCCCCGGCTGTGGAGCCAGGCAGCTGCAGAGTTCCATCCCTGGTGGCAGCCACGGAACATCGCAGCTGGAGCCAGAGCTCCCTGGCCACTGCTGGGGCCAGAGCTCCTAGCTGCCACGCCATCCACTCTCCTCCCCCTGACACGAAGCTCCCAGCTGAGTCGCTGGCCCAACCTACTTGCCCCACCACCAGACCTCCCCGGTCCTGGGCTCAGAGGTCCAGGAATATGTTGCTGGACCAGAGTCATTGTTTAGGAAGGTACAACCTGTATTTGTTTTAAGTGAAAACAAAATATTGCAAATTACAACAGGAGAAAGATGACTGACCTAAAAAAATCAACAGAAGTAGCACTCGGGAAGAGAAAAGGATTTGCTATTACAAAGTATTGATTCAAATTTCTCCCAATACTCCCAGTTTAGAAGGCATTAACGACTTGTATGAAGATGTTTGACTTTTCCTTTTTTTGAAAACAGGCTATATACCTCTCAGCACCATAACTGATGGCCCTACCTCCAAATGGATGGCACTGACATTCATCTTCCCTTAAACACACAAACAGGTCTAAAACATTACTGGTCTTCACTATGTAGGGAGATGTAAAACAAGGGTGTTAATGCAGATAAAGTATATCTTTAAGGCTGCTGTGTCAGGACAATAGGAGATTATACTAAGTATAAAGCAGGAAGGCAAACTGAAGCGTGTAGTAACCTAAGATTAAAAGGATAGTTTTGTAACAATCCTGACTTATTTTTAGATGTTTACACACAATTTTTAAATGTGTTTTCTGCTTGTAAAGCAGACTATTAGTTAGAGAATCCACTTCTATGACCAACACTAAGGTTAAGCTTGTGAGAATATTGGTTATTCATTCTCATCCAAGCTCATTTAAAGATGAAACATTTACAGGGGACTATGAATCCATTCATAAGACAAATGGTATGTGTGCAGTGGATGGCAATTCTAAAAATAAAAAGTAAAACTAACCACTATCTACCGTCAAAAGCAGAGCATAAATACACTTCCATTAAGCTTTCTCTATGTCTCATTCAATCATTTCATATTTTAAAAAGTTTATGGTCTTCCTTATAGCTGAACACTTGAAATCTCACTGATTTAATCTGCAGTTGGTTTTTGCCATTAACCTAGTTGAGAAAATTTAGAAGTCAACAACTCTAACTAAAGTAGAACTATAATAATGATGCACAATTAGGGCATGTCTACACACTTGCAGCCTAGTTCGAACTAGGGATGCAAATGTAGGCGACCGAAATTGCTAATGAAGCGGGGATTTAAATATCCCATGCTTCATTAGCATAATTAGCAAAAAATGAGGAGTAACGTTAGTTCAAACCAAGGGGTTTGATTTGAACTAAAGCGGCCTGGAGCGCACTTCCTGGTTCGAATCAGCTGGCGATCGGAAAAGTGCGAGGGCGAGATTATGCTAATGAAGTGTGGGATATTTAAATCCCCGCTTCACTAGCAATTTCGGTCGCCAACAATTGCATCCCTAGTTCGAACTAGGGTGCAAGTGTAGACGTACCCTTAGTTTTCAAATTAAAAACCACTTACTCCAACAGTTCCTGAGCCACACCCCGCCTAGTATAGGACAGCCACAGACCACACAAACCATTCATACATTCTGAATGCTATCTGACAGGTCCACATTAACTATAAAGTCCAAAAAGGCGTTACCCAAACCTATTTTGCAGAAAGTTTATTTTCATTTTTGGAGCAGATACTACATGAGTATCCTGTGATGGCTGCACAAAGCAACCCTAATAGTGGAAAATTTATTTTCAACGTAACATTGTAGTTCGTACTTAAGAACAAACTAGATAAACCATGAAGAAAAAAAAAAGTTTGCAGTGCCACAAGCTTCCATTTTTAGATAAATATAGTCTTGTGAAAACAAGATTAAAAATTACAGACCAACACATTTTCATCACACCACAGTCCTGACTCAGTGAGGAGGACCTTGTAATTCAACTGCCAGAGGCCTTGTCTGAAACAGCTTTGCTACTCCTGGTAAACTGAGACCTGTAAAGCTCTCATCACCACAGTCAAAAGAATGGTTCTTTAAAAACAGGAGAGAAAGGAAGTAAAACCATAAAAGGACAATGTGTTAAACAAGATTTAGGCAATTAGATCATTGCACTAAGATGGCTGGGATTATAGCCAACAGTGCAGAGTGTGGTGGAAATAGTGTCCCCAAAAATACTCAAGTATTCCGCCTCCAGGAAAGATGGAAAAGGTGGGGCTAAGAACAAAACACGCTGCTTCTGAGAGGGTGCAAATCTAGCAGTTTCAGAGATAAAAACCTCTGTACTGAAAACAGAGAAATGCTTTCTCCCATATAAAACCCATTTTCTGTTTCCCAGTTTTTCAAATTGTAGAGAATTGTTACACTGGTAACAGTTTAACCAGACTGTCTGCTAGAAATTTGTCAGTACTGAAGCATTCATTAAATATAAACTTTGGTTTCCACCACCACCCTGGCATCACTTTTCCTTGGGGAGGAGGGGGAGAGGAGTTTGAAGACAGCTTTTCAATTTCTATCATTTTACACATTACCCCAAATCTTAACACACTCAAATGAAAAAAAAAATAGCAAAAACAACTTGCTTTAAAATACTTACTAGGAAGTGCTTTTAAAAACTGACTCCAGTGATATGCTGAACACTCTTCTAAGCCAATGGGATGCTTTTCTAATTCTGCACACACCCTCCTCTCACAGCAGTATAAACACATTCAAGCACAGGAATCAGAAACCAAACATGTTGCATGTTTGAATACAAACCTCCACCCTTTCCTAAGATTGTTATGTGTACACTGGGTAGCTCTCAAAGACTGATATTTGAGTTTAATCAAGATTAAATTACCCTGATTGAGGCCTTTAAAAACAGTCCGCACCTGAGCGATGAACATCTAGCACAATTGTATGAAATATTTTCTACTCAGTGGTGTACTATATAAGAGAGACACACTGCAATCAACCAACCTCCTAACCCTATAAAACATTGAGCTGGCCCTTCTAAAGTGGATATTTTTGGAAATTAATAGTACAGAACCTACACTTGTGCCCAAAGGCAACCAATCTGTGCTGTAAAAGGAACCAAAGCTTTTAGCAACTCTTTAATATATTCTTTGGGAAAGCAAATTAAATTCTTGATCAGCCATAATATTTTGAACACAGAATTTTTTATTTCTAGAACTACCTTACAAGTTAAAGATTTTCATTCATCTGAGGTAACAAAAAAATTATCTGAAGTTTGTAGTATTGCAACTGAGCCCACAAGGATTTAAAAAATTATCTTCAATTTAAATTGAAGTTATTTCACTGCTGTCTCAACCAGGTAACGCTTGTTTTCCAGTGACATAAAATTGAAAGCATAGACACATAGGACTGGAAGGGACCTCAAAAGGTCATCTAGTTCAGTCCCCTGCATTCATGGCTGGACCAAGCACTATCTACACCAGCCCTGACAGGCTGGTGTCTAACCTGCTTTTTAAAATCTCCAATGAAGGAGATTTCACAACCTCCCTAAGGCAACTTATTCCAATGCTTAATCACCCGGACAGTTAGGAAGTTTTTTCTAATATCCAACCTAGGAATGTGACTGGTGAACCAATAAGCATCACTCTTACTGGGTGATGCTTACTGGTTATAGCTAATCAGCAGTGCGTCCAGGCCTTGGCCAAAGCAGTCCCCACCAGTGGTGGGGAAGAAGGAGGGAGAGGCTGGACCCACTGGATCTCTCCACCTCGTTTAAGTGACTAACCAGTTGAACATACCGTTTAACTGCTCAACTGATTAAACGGGATTTTACATCCCTAGAACCTAAACCTCCCTTACTACAATTTAAGTCTACTGCTTCTAATCCTGTCATCAGAGGTTAAGTACTCCATGTAACAACTCTTTACATCAGAGCTACTCAATACGTGGCCTGAGGGCCACATGCAGCCCATGGCCCATTTGTTTGTGGCCCACAGTGAGGTTTGGGTTTACGCAGGGGTCAACTTGTGGCTGGGAGTCAAAATAAAAAAGTAGTCAATATAATAGTCTTCTGTTGATATGAGTTTTAGTAGTTACATTCCTGGACTGCCATTCCTCATTAAAAGTGTTATCATACTGGTGGAAATTGGGTAAATGTTACATTTTATTAATATCAACAGAACGGACTTAATTGGGCTTGCGGGTTGGGTAGTCTTGTCTTAATTTTTGTATTCATGCCCATCAGTGGGAAAGAAGCTTTTT